TCCCTGGAACTTTTGCTGGAATTATTTTTTTCCCACCGGCATTGCTAAACTGAAGCATTGTGAATTCACATCTGCCAGGAGCCTTATTTGTCAGCTTCAAAAGAGAAGTGGACTTAAGATGAGTGAACACAGAGGAACCAAGAAATGGAAAGAGATAGATTCTTCATGGCATTATTTGAGAATCTGAATCCATCCATGCCTGAAGCCAGATACTCTTGACTTTCAAGTTGAGTGAGCCAATAAACCCTACCCTCTTTATTTTATTTTAATTCATTTAAGCTAGTTTGAGTTGGATTTCTGTCACTTGCCACTGAAAGATTGCTGACCAGTACTCGTACAGTGAACCTATTAGTCAGTAAGCTTCCTGAGAGCAGGGACTGCATTTTATAGACCTAAGATCCTTGGGGGTAGGGATGATGTCTTATGTATTCTCGGTATTGCAGCACCTAGCACAGGGATGACCACAGAGCAGGTGAGGAATAAACAAAGGAATAAATATCTCTTTGTATTTTCCCAATGGTCCAGTGCTCTGTACTTAAAAGACTTTAAAATACTGGAATAAAAGTTCACTGGAACAAGAATCATATGACATGTGTCAGATTCTTATCTGGCATAATCAAAGCACCATAGGGCTGAAAGAGATACTTTAAATCAACTCACTAACTGCCCCCAGTTCCCCATTGTACAAATGGGAAAACTGAGATTTAAACTAAAAAAAACTTAACCTGAATGGTGAGTCACAGGCAGAGTCAGCCAAGAACCCCCATCCCAACGCTCAGAGTCCGTGCTCTGGCCTCTGTCCTGGTGTCAATTTATTAAGCAAAGTAAATTGACCCAGAGAACTCAGAAACCTCTAAGCAAAGTGAATAAACTCCCCAACTCGGCAAAGTGCCCCTCAGCCCACAAGGGAGGGGCAGAAACACTAAGGAAAGTGCCCTGGGCCAGGAGTCAAGAAACCCAGGCCTTAGACCTAGTTTGTTCCCTCACTGGCTGTGTGACATTGGGTAAGCCCTTCAGTTCTCTACACTCAGTTTCCTCTCTCTAAAATAGGGGATAGGAAGGTGGAATCTAAAGGAGCTGATCTCTAAGATCCCTGAAATTCTATGATTACACGGGGGTTGTTGGACAGTTCATCAAATCCCCAAGATTAAACCTACATGGATTACAGAGAATTTGAAGGCCAAGAGGTCAGCAACCCATCTGCAGACTCCAAATAAAGGTTGATGAATTAGGGGTTCCAGCTGAGCATATATTCTTTCCAGCTTGACTTTGGAAGAAAAATAGAGTGGAAATACATAATATCGCTTCTCTGGGTACCACTGAGAAATGTGGACAGATACACCTTACATCCTAAAATTCTCCTTCCTCACCCCCTTTAGAGATTCTAAAATATCCACATCTAAGTTGAGTGGGGTGAAATGGATTTGAAACAAGCCCATTACAATGTCCACATCTGAATATATACTGTCTTCTTCAAAGTAGTCCTTCTAGTAATTTAGGCAATTCTTTCACCGGGGCAGTAATTCCTCCCTGCATTTGTATATCTTTTCTTTTCTTTCTTTTTTTTCTTTCTTTTTTTGGGGTGTGTGTGTGTGTGTTTGTGTGTTTGTGTGTGTGTGTTTGTATATCTTTTCTTTTCTTTCTTTTTTTTCTTTCTTTTTTTGGGGTGTGTGTGTGTGTGTGTGTGTGTTTGTGTGTTTGTGTGTGGGTGTGTGTGTGTGTGTGTGTGTTTTGTTTTTGTCTTTGTTTTTCCCCTGCATTTGTAAAAGTCTCCTTGGGGAAGCAAGCCAGCCTTGTGACTTTGTCCTTACATTTTGGTTTTATCCCAAGTGACAGTTCTCAATTTGATCACCCATCATATTATCTACAGTTGACCCTGTGTGATTTTCAGCCATTTTCAAAAATCACATTCCTCCTTTAAAAGATGGAGGTTTCCCCTCAATGAAGATGTTCAAGAGAATACACCCCATGCTCCAAAGACAATTCCCTACAATGCTTTGAGTAGTGGAATCATCAGCAAGTGATATAACACCTCCTCTGGGGGTTTCTTTTGTAAAGGCAAACATTTGTTGAATGTCCTGAGGTGATTATTTTTAAAAACCATCTCTACTATACGATTATCACATTTTTCCTTCTCTTTCTCATCCCTGAAGCACCCCAAACTTTTTCCTAGCCTTCACCAGCCCTCCTCCCCCATCCTGCCATCCCCTGACCCCACTTTTTGCAGCTCAACTCTCTTCCCTCTCAGCAAATAGGCAAATGCCCAAGTTGCTGAGTCTTCAAAATCTGTCTTCGATCAAAAGGTGGGCAGAGGTGTGGGACTCTAATGGATCCTGGAAAACCGTCTCAGCATTTCTTGTTCCCAAGTGGCCCTTCTCTAGTTCTTAGGGCAAGATGACTGTCTTAGCCAAATATTTCAGAGGGCCCCAGGGACTCATTCCCTCTGGGCATGGCACCAGAACCCTTCCTGCTTTGGGGGGCAGGGAGGATGAAGACTGCTCTCCAGAGACCCATGTTGCCAGATGCTGTCAACCACTCACATGTCAAACATTGGATGGACTCTATAGACCGTCTGTTTCCCCCGCCCCTACATACACACACACTTATCACAGACTTTAAAGTTTACAGGACACTTTCATTTGTCCTCTTGGAATCCTCAACATTGTTTTACAGATGAGGAAACCGAGCCTCAGAGAAATAAAGAAAAACACCCAAGTTGATAATGTCAGCAAGTTGGAGGTCCAAGCCAGATCTCTCCATTTCCCATCTCCAGCTTTTTTCAATATAATAGAAATCACACCTAGAGTAATCCATCATTCAGATAAATATTTCCCCTAAGACAGCCAAAAGAGACTCTTAGAGACGCTAACATAATGCTAACCAATCAATACAGGTGGTCTGCCCATATCCAAGCACACAGACCCAAATACCCAATTCTAAGGCTCTGCACCTGCCCTAAGGTGCCTCTCTTTCATTGAATCCCCTACCCAGTGGCTGCTGAGGGTCAGCCAAGGAGGGGAGTGTCTTAACACAGAGGGACAGAATCTATCTCTGACTCCTCCAAGAAGAGAACGTGTCAGGAAGGAGCCCCCGTTCTCGGCGCGTGTTCTGGGGGTTCCGCCCCCGCCCCTACCCTACCTGCCAAGAGCTGCATCCAGGCACAGATCTTGTAGACCGTGGCGGTGTTGCAGAAGAAGAAAAGCGCAAAGCAGGTGATGCAGCCGAGGATCAGCACCATGGAGAGCAGCACGAAGAAGGCGGCCGCCTTGAAGGCGCTGGACGGGATGGTGCTGAAGTCGGTGAAGGAGCCCCGGCAGGTGAGCTCGCGGCCGGCCAGGCCGCTGCCCACGCAGTAGTGGAAGAGGCCGAAGTAGCCAGGCTTGGGGGTGCTTACGCTGTCGCCCACCCAGTAGGGCTGGATGAAGACCACCACGTTGATGATGGCGAAGCAGATGGTGAAGATGGCCCACAGCACGCCGATGGCCCGCGAGTTCCGCATGTAGTGCTCATGGTAGAGCTTGGAGGCCTCCTGCGAGGGCAGCATGGTGCCCGGGACGGACCGCCGGGCTGCCGGGCGGGAGCTAGGGACGCACGCGAGAAGTAGCCCTGAGTCAAGGGACTCGCGAGGGCGGGGCCTGGGGCGGGGAAATGAGGAAGGGGTCACAAGAGTGTTGGGGCGGTGTGGGGGTGCACTGGCAAAGATCTAGTGGGGGGCTTAGGAAGGGACCATGTGTAAGTTGGGGGGCCCTGGGATGAGAATACGGGAGCTGGAAGTGGGGGGAGCTCGAAAGTGGTCATGGGGGAGTTGGGGAGGGGGTTTGGGATCTAGTATTGGGGGAGCAGGAGGGCGAAGTGGGGAGATGGAATGGAGGCTGGAGACCGGTACTGGAGGATTAGCAGAGGTGCTGCCTATATGGAGCTCAGAAGGGAATCTGGGGGCTGGTATTAGGGGTAGAGGGAGGTCTGGTGTGGGGTGTCTAGAAAGGGGCTAGTACATGGTCTATTTTTATAAATGTTCCCTTTGTACTTTAAAAGAATGTGCATTCTCTATTAATGGAAGAAAGCTTTTCATATGTCTATTAGCTCAAGCCTGTTAATTGTGTTGTTCACATTTTTCAGAGTGTTATGAATTTTTTTTGTCTGCTTGATCCGTCAATTTCTGAGAAAGATGTGTTAAGATCAACCATTATGATTGACTGAGAATAGACATGAAGGAATCTTATGGGATGATGTTCTATATCTTGACAGGGTTTAGGTTACACAACTATATGCATTTGTCAAAACCCAGCAAATATACACTTAAGATTTGTGCATTTCATTTTGTTTCAAAAGAAAAAAATTGCAATAAGATATTCAACTTTAGTTCATAAAGCCTTCAAGGGGAAAGGTACTGATTCTTTAGTTTACTTTGACATGCATAAAAAATAAGATGGGTGAATAAATGGATAGAAAGATGGAGAGATTGAGAGATACATAAAAAAGCAAGTATAGTAAAGTATTATTGGTAGAATTTAGGCAGTGCGTGGGTATACTCTGTAAGATTCTTTCAACTTGTGTATTTGAAATTTTTCATTAAAAAATGTTGGGGGGAAAATCCCATTATGATTGATGATTTTTGAATTTCTTCTGAGTCCACCAGTTTTTGCTACATATATTGAGACTAAGTTGTCGTATAACTTCGTATAATGTATGCTATACGAAGTTATTACGCTTGCTTGGGTTCTCCCCGGGGCGCGCTCCCGCGCCGAGGCGCGCGCGCTCGTGCACCGGCGGGGGCGCGCTCCCTCGCGGGCGTGCGGGACGAGGCGGAACGGGGGAGGGGCGCTCCCGGTTTGGGAGGTCTGGGACAGGAGTGCGCACGGTCCCCGGGGTCCCCCAGCCAGAGCAACAAGCCCCCTCCACAGGAGGGTGCTCTGATTTGGGGAATTCCCTTCTTCCCGCCTGAGCTGCGCGGCTGTCGGTCCCCACCAAGCCCGTGGGAATGGGGAGGGGCTGAACGGGATATGATTCGACAGGGTTTGAACTGGATCTCTTGCTCCCAAATTACCTCCCCAATCACCAATCACAGTGCCTGAAGGTGCGCCATTATGCTTCCAGTCCTTTGAGCCCTGGAGGCGTTGAAGGTTTCCAGAATCTCCTAGGAAACTGCCAGCACCTCTGTGAGACGGAACCCCCTAAACTGTCAGCAGCCCGCGCCTGCGGTGGGGATTCGCTGGCCTCCAGGGTAAGGAGTGGGGCTGGGGAACAGGATCCACGATGAGTACCAGGACACAGGTGAGAAGGGGCTGGGAAGTTGTTGGTTTTCCTCCCCCCATTGTCCCCAGCGCCCAGCCCTGGCATAAAGTGGGCACACATAGAGATGTGTTAAAGAACAAAGCACCAAAGACAAGGCGCATGGTTAGGCCACAGAACACTCCAGGAGCAGTCCAAGGGAGCCCCTTCCGTGCTGGAAGATAGCCTTTGGCTTAGGATCTGTCCGAAGCATCTGGGTTGGAACCCAGACAGACCGACTGATAGTTACTAACTCTGTGACCTTGCACTTGTGCTCTCTGAACTTGTTTCCCCATCTGTAAAGTGGGCAGATTGAGCCCCACCTAGTATAAGTGTGTGTAGTGAGGGTGTGTGAAAAATAATTCATGTTCATGGGTCCCAAACACTGAGTCAGTCTGTCAAAATTTACACCTATCTGTAATACGATTATGTAGGATTGCTGATTGTCTTTTTTCCAGGAAGGAAGAGAACTGCTCTTTTTTTCTGAGATTATGCACTTTCTACTTTCTTAGCACAAAAATATATTCTTTTTTTCTTTTTTTAGGCAGCTGGCTGGTACAGGGATCAGAACCCTTGACCTTAATGTTATATCACTGTGCTCTAACCAAGTAACCAGCCAGCCCTAGGAGGGTTTTGTTTTTAAATGTCCTTATTTTGGTAAATTAAAAAATAGGCAACCTTACTTCAACCTCAAATTTCAAAAAAATATTTAAAAATTATGGATCCATGAAATCCCATAATTTGGGGACCTCAGAGCTATGTGAATTGATCTTGTCCACAGCTTGAGCACGGGGTGCTCAAAAAATTTACTTTCTCTTCCCATTGGTTTCTTGGAGAGGGCCTCCTGGCTGTCTCCTGAGAGCCCAGGCTCCTGGGATCACAAGCTGAAGGTGCTGTGGCTCTATACCTTCTCCCACTTTACAGATGGGGAACAGGGGCCTAGAAGGGGATTGACTTATCCAGAGAGATAGATGGATTCTGCCAATCAGACTGATCAATCTGATTTATTAATTTATTCATCCAACCAAGAAATATGTGTTGGGCCCCTGCAATGTGCCAAGAACAGGCCCTATGCTAGGCACTCAGGAGAAGATGGTGGGTAAAACAGACGTGATCCCACGGGGAGATGGAAGGTGCTGGAAGGAGGGAGCAGGGAAGTGGTCATCATCAAAGAGCATCTCAAAGGCTCCTTCTGTGGGTGCTCCAGGTTTGGATACTGTTCTGAACATTCCAAGTTACTCCTTACTTTGCCATGGATTGCTGTTTTTGCTTTTTCTTCCCCCTAGCCTGCTGAGCCAAGGTAGATGGTCCTGGGGAATCAAAGGCTCCTTCTGTGGGTGCTCCAGGTTTGGATACTGTTCTGAACATTCCAAGTTACTCTTTACTTTGCCATGGATTGCTGTTTTTGCTTTTTCTTCCCCCTAGCCTGCTGAGCCAAGGTAGATGGTCCTGGGGAAACACACACACACACACGCACACACACACACATCCAGTACTACTCTCCTCAAGGCAAGTACTGAGAGTTCTTGCTGAAGTGGGCCCCCAGTTCCTCTCTGGCTGTTCTATTCTAGCTCTGCAGAACAAAGGCACACTGTAGAGATCAGCCCACCACCCACACTACTTCTGACAACAGTGCTTTTTCTTTGAAGAAATTCCTTTCCCCTCACTCAGGCCCTGGTTTTGGTGGGACTCTCTCTCTCACACACACACAGACACACACACACACACCAAATTCTACTCCAGAGGGGGCAAATTATCAGGCCTGGACAATGAGAATACCCCATTGTCCTGAGCACAATGACTGTTTTGTCAGTGGGCCCATAACCCAGGCCAAATAGTTGAGAATAATATCCTGGTCATTTATTGCAGTTTACAAGAAAGAGGTGTTCTCTCTCTATTGAGTTTGTTGACTGGGGGGATTGCAAGCTGCAACTAGTGGGGGCCATCTTTGACACACCAAACAGAGAGAGAGCATTCAAATGACATAGTTTGAGCACCTGGATCCATCCATGCCTGAAGACATACTTCTGCATTGTTCTATTAGGGTGAGCCAATAAATTCAATTTTTGCTTAAGCCAGTTTGAGTTGGGTTTTTGTCACTTCCAATCAAAATAGCACTAAATAATTTACCTACATTTCTCTAAAGGAGAGAGCAGTGGCTGGTATACAGGATTATTTATATTACAGAATACCTGAATAGGTGAGGTGATTCTGACATATTGAAACTAAAAGACCAGAATTTGAGGCCCTCTCTGCCATGTATTAACTGTGTGACCCAGGACAATGATGCTACTTCTCAGAGCCTTATTTTCTTCATTTGTGAAATGGAGAAAAACATACTTTCCTCCCGCAGATGTTGTGAGGATTAAAAGAGATAATGGATAGAAAAGAGCTTTGCAAACTGAAAAAGGCTATAAATATAAGTTATTATCATTAAATTTTAATAGTAAGCTACTTGTCCAAAGAGTGGAAATAGCAGTAATATTGGAAATGCACTTGCTGAGCAGTGAGTAGCTGGGAAAGGATATGTCCTCATTTTAAAGACTACACTTGGAGCCATTACAGAAAGAAAATTTGAGAACTTTCTACAAGAAAAGCATCTTCTTGACCTCAGGGAGGGGCCGGAGCAGAATGGAAGAGTTGTGGGGTCAAGATGGGGACTATAGATTATAAGGCAAGATGGCGTTGGACTGAACACGTAGACAAGAAGAGAAGCGCCCCCCCCCCCAGGCACTTCCAGCCAATATCCTAATGAGGAAAGATTTGTAACTTGCTGTGTCCTCTTATCACTAAGTTAAGTGTCCAGTTATGTCTAACAGTGAGTAAGCTCTTACTTCATTCTAGGTCCCTGATCATTGCTTTACATGTATTGTCTCATTTAATCTTCAAAATAACTCTATGAGGTAGAGTTATGGATAGAATTATGCTCCCCCTGCCACTGAACAAAATTCCTATGTTGAAGTCCTAACCCCCAGAACCTCTGAGTGTGACTGCATTTGGAGATAGGGCCTTTAAAGAGTTAATTAAGTTAAAATGAGGTGATATGGGTGGGTCCGGGACATAAAGAGTGAGTACAATTTGTAACAATATGTATGCTGGTAATATTGATTTGATCAACATATCTCAATGTTGAACCCCCAAAATATGTATAATCAATTTTGATTCAATAAAAATTAAAAATTAAAGTAAAAATAAAGAAAGAAAGAAGAGATTAGGACGCAGGCAACACAGAGACCAAGGGACAACCATGTGAGGACACAGCAAGAAGGTAGCCATCTCGAAGCCAAGGAGAGAGGCCTCAGAAGA